ACTGAGCACTTTCTACTGTGTGTTATTTATAAGTTGTGGTAATAAAAGAAAGCCCTTCATAGGATGGTGTTTTCTGATGGTGTCTATTTCAATGAACTCTATCACTTTATCAAGTGATCAAGTTTTCACTTCTACTGAAATCTTTAATGAATTCTCAGTGAAAAGGATTTGTGAAACTATGTTCTGATATGACTTCACAGAGTATACACATTGGGTATGAGGAAGTCCAAGCCTATCAGAGTGAGACTGGGGAATGCAAGAGATGGAGGTGGAAAAAACTTTCACTGACTTTCCCTTTAAAAGCACTTTTAGAGTTTGTCCTCTTTAGAAAGTATTCATACGGGGCATAAAGACATGTTATTGCTTCACTTTTCACAAGTATCAATAAATCAACCAGAAGAACAGACGGAAAAGATCAATGGCAATTATCAGCCAAGTAAATATAGATTTAAATGAAAAAACTGAGACAAACAAACAAGGAAAAGGATATGTTGTATCACTAAAGCAAAGGTTACATTTTGATCTACAGCTTTCTCCACTTTGTCACATGATCAAGTTATTGTTTGGCTTTCTTTGATGTGATTCACACCACCTGGATACATTTGTGTATGCCTTTTTGTATTGTATTGTGCATAATACTCATGTTCACCCAGCATGGCACATATGCTCCTTTGGCTCCAAGCCAAATCATAATGAGGCAAATGACTCAAGCATTTTTACATGCTAGACAACTGCTTTAAGACAATTCACATTCCCATAACAAATAATGCAGAGACATTAACAGACGGACGCAGCATTGTTCCATGCTGCATGAACCCTCACCCTGCCCAACATACTGAATACATATGCCCACATTTTGAATGATTACTCATAAACCAATGCAAAAACAAGGAGGCTATCATCTCACACAATAACATAAACTTTAACTTGGTGAATGAGGTCTTGCATGTTTCAGATAATCCAGACTTGACCAGGCTTGATTCTTGATTTATGACAGCCATGACCGATGACATTTCAGACAAGCACAGACAAAGCTCATAACAATTGTGCTCTGTGTCGACCCTTTCTTCAGCTTACATTACAAAGGTATTTTGAAACTGGAGTGCTTTCTTTGCTCTTTCAATGAAAGCTCAGTGCTCTCATGCTGTGTCAGATTTTTATTAAAATTCTCAATAATGAAAGTTCAATGTTAGCTTATTGCTATAGTGTGGTTGTGATTTACTGGCATCCTGTGACCTCAAATATGTGCATGGAGTATTGGTGTAAAAATCTGGCACAGCATGAGAAAGCAGTTAGAGAGACACAGGTGTCTGCATGTGTGTGTGTGGTCACACAGTCTCAGTCAGAGTTCTGTGCGTCCGTTCAAAGTTAGTCGGTAAGAAGCAAAACTAGCACATAAATTCTCTCCAAATAGCCGTTGGACAGCAGAGATTTGAGCTTTAGGGTAAAGTTCCACACCATGGTAGAAATTAAAGGCATGTGCATGTGAAAAGTTAGGGAAGAATGAAAAAGAATGTAGGCCTCACCTACACGAAAGGTGCAGAAAGAAGAAACAAGTGCGCTAGTGTTTGAGTAGGGAGCAACTGGGTGTGGCGAAACGTACCAAGTCAGAAAACAAACACTAAATCTGCAATGCATATCACTGATTTATGTGCAAGATTGTTTTCACCAGAATAATGCATTATGCTGTAAGCCTGAAGCATTTAATTTTGTCTAGCAACTTTCTGGCAGCATTAAAGACATCTATTTTGCTCTCTGAGACTTAACTATGCCTCAGGCATTTGGTTGAATAATCTTTAATAATACTTTATGCTTGTAGTTTAGGCCCTGGGTAGTCCGATATATGCATGTTTGAAACATAATTATAAGGAAAAAATACTTATTTATTCACTTACAGCTGATAATGCATAACTTTGTGTAAGTGCAGGTTCATTGTGGGTTAGTAGTTTTGTTGTGATGTTGGTGTACGACAAAACAGATCCAGTGGAGCTCCCTCATGCTGATGCCAATGAAGAGCACTGTTCTAAACACCCTTTCAAGTTTGGACATACATTCATTTATTATTATTAATTATTTTGGCTGTAGTGTGGCTTGACCTGTGAGCTATCCAGTTGAGCAGTGTGCTGTTCCTGGCTTGGGGCCACCCTAACAGAACACAGAAAACAAAAGTTAACAGAACTGCAGATGGCAAGATGGTTATGAAAGACTTTCTTGTTATTAAGATGTAGAAGATGAATTTGTCATGCTAAAAAGAAACTGTTAAATAATAGTTATGTATGAAAATGTAACTGTTAAAGCAAGACAATGTAACGTTTGCTGAACAATGACTGCTGCGGCTACAAATGACAAATATGGGATGATGGGGTGAAAGTTTACCAACATTAGCTAACATAAGATAACATGACTTCTTTATATCAGTTTTCACAGCGGTCCCAGCATTTCCATAAACTTGGATATGACTGGATCTTTCCTGATACAGCTCCTTTTTGTCCAGTGACACTTCATAATTGCTGGATCATCATGAATTATAATTATCATAGTTGTCATACATTATAATCATTTTATTATGCATCAAATCACTCAAAATCACATCAGTTCATTATAATGTGATTATAATGCATTATAACATCATTACAGTGTATTACATGGGGAAAACATTACATTAGTGAAATGTAAATCAGCAAAAAGTTGTGTCAAATTGGAATACTCTGTCTCTGCTTGCCTTGTGTTACTATGAACACAGTTAATGTGGTTTTAGTGTGATATTATAGCAATTACTGCTATAAAAAATAAAACAGTTTAGTGATTCACACAGTCAGAGTATGCCGATCTCATTTTATAGTCCTTAACAACTCACAGATATGCATGCATTTGTTTCTTTGTACTTTATTTCAGACACACAGCCCTTCCAAAGTGTCAACCTAGGGAAGCACTGTGATATAGGGCTGTTTTCACATATTTTGTGGCCACCATAGTTTCTCCATCATGCTTGGAAGGGGACAGTAAAATGAGGGAGTTGTGATCTGCTACTAAATCCTACACACTTTAAATCTGGGTACAATATGACTATAGACTGCTGCTCAATGATTTAAAAAAAGCAATACAATTTTGAGGAATAAACACCAACAGTCCTACATTTTCTATCCTTACACATAATAATGGCTAAAAACTGTCTGATTAGGACTACCTAATTATCTACCCAGAATCTCTGGATTCTTGTGCATTGTTATGAGACCATACAGGTTTGAGGGGGTATAGTGGTTAGACTGGGTGGGTTACTGTGACCATTCACTTTGTACCTGGATGACTTGTTTGGGCAGATAAATGCTTGTAAAAAAACAAGTTATACAGTCTTATAATCATTGAATGTATATTTGGTTAGATTTCAGTGCTGAGCTTCAACATTTGTTAAATAAACTGTATACTTTGTCAATATGTTGCAGATTTTTATATAAGATTTAATGCTGAAAAGAGTAAAGTAAGGAGAGAAAATTACTTATTTCCAAAGTTCAACTCAAGTTAATTGGAGATTAAGGCAGTGAGGTTAAATATAGCATTTAATAAAATATTTTAATTTATAAAAAATATTAAAATATAATTACTAAAATAAGAGTAGCAATAACACCATCCATTCAAAATGAAAAAGTCAAACTACATAAGCACTGTTAGCAGCTACATGTATATAGGTATCAAAAATAATTAGTTACACAGAATGGCCTCTTAAAGTGGGTTATTGTAAGAATTTAAAAAATATTATTATGCAGCTTTTTAATGTTGTAGCTGGTTAAAATGTGGCCAGTGGAATAGATGTATCCACAAGTCGGTTTTTGATGAGGATTCTTGTGAATAAATGTCTGTGCACACTGTGAAAAGTTATACACATTATACTTTTCATTAGTTTATTTTTGTGCATCTTGAGAATGATATGTCAGCCTTTTATGTGTTTATGTGTATGTATTGTACAAGCTTGTGTATTTTATGTGATTCTCTATTTTTAATATTTTTAAGTCATTCTAATTGTATATTTTACCACAATGGATGTATGAAATAAAGTAAAATGTATCAAAATAAACTTTGGAGCACTCATAATGCATTATATTATTATTTCATGCTCAGTATAATTTTTCTGTTGTTGAAAAAACAAAGGAGAATAAATCAACTCATCTGCCTGTTGTACACTTATTTTTGTTTACATTTGTCTTAATCTGTTGGAAGAAGTATGTTAAGCCCATCCCTGTAGCAAGTTCAACCCTATGCAGATGGAAACGATATCAAGAGCAGATGCAGAAAGGAGTGTGGTGCAAGTGAGAAGACAGTTGATCTTGAAAATATATCAAATTGTAGCTAATTTCTTTACATTTTGCTGCCAATTGAATACCTTTGTACTACCAGAATGGTAAAATGTTAATATTAATGCACTGCAGTCTGGCTGTTCTTACTGACTTAAACTAACAACTTAGGAAGTTTATACAACGTACAATATGTTCTTTATGTTCAAGCATACTGTGAAAATATTTGGCTGCACTATTACGCACTATTAATGCTGGCTTAGGTTGTGTGTATATATATATATATATAATATACATATATATATATGTCTGAAAGGGGCTTCCAATACATTTTTACCATACTGAACCTACTGATTTAGACTTTAGAAACAGGTCTGATATTAATTTCCCTGCCCTGTCACCACTAAGAACGCAGGCTATCGGGGTTACATGCTGAAAGAGGCCTATTTTCCCTTACATAATCACATTTTCACTACAGTTCTTTATCTCTCACTCTCTTCCCCCTTCATCCTGTCCCAGCGCAGGGTGTGTCACGGCTTATCTTCTGACAATCCCTCCCTACCTGTTTTACAGGATCGGCCACTCCTGTCATTGAGAGCCAGAGGCTGAGGTGGAGGGGGAGGCTGGACACCAAAAGTGAGAGTACAGGTTGAAGTGGCTGAGGAGGATCCGCCCCCTTGCTCAGCACAGGCATAAAAGCAGGCAGAGTCCACAGTCAGACACTCAGAGGGACTTGGCTCTCCTTTTGAAGACTACACATCTCCAGTTCTCCTCTGCTCAGAGTTGACAACCTTTACAACTGCAAAAATGAGGAAGGCACAATCAGTTTCCAGCTACAGTCTCAGCAGCAGGAGGTCCGTTGGACCAACTACTAGCTACTCCGTGAAAAGAACCAGCTATGGGGGTCTTGGCTCTAGTGCTGGTACTGGTGGTGGTGCTGGTTTTGGTTATGGTATGTCAATGGGTGGTAGTTCTGGTGGCTTTTCTTCCAACCAAAGTTACATCGCACCACCGATCACAGCTGTCCAAGTCAACCAGAGCCTGCTGGCCCCTCTGAACCTGGATATTGACCCCACTATCCAGGCTGTCCGCACCCAGGAGAAGGAGCAGATCAAGACCCTCAACAACCGCTTCGCCTCTTTCATCGACAAGGTTGGTTCCTGTGAGCTCTGTGTGACTTCTCTATGTACAATTTGCCGTAGGCCTCATTATCTTAGCATTGACAGCACTCCATGGGCAAAATTTAATTCAAGCAGCTGGCAACAGTGAATTCTCTTCCTTTGCCTTCTATCTGTAATTAAAAAGAGATGACTAGAAAGTTAAAGCTTTAATATATAGTATAGAACAGCATTCTAGTTTTAGGTGTTTAATAAAATTGCCAACCACTCCTCACTAGACGTGAATACGTTATTCTTACTGAGACAGCTGACAAAGCAAGAGAGCTGTGAATCTTATCTCTGCAATGTTGTATCCATCAATAAGTTACAGCCTCTGGGAAAAAGAAATCTTATTAAAATCTGCAAAAAGTCTGCACCTGATCATGACCCCATCTTACACTGGGATCTCCATCCAAAATCTACCTTAGCTAATAGTTGGCCCATAGCCACGTCTGAGCCTGTGGCAGCTTCTCTGCCCACTATCTAAACATAGGTGGGGATTATATTGCAGTGACTTGCCTATCCCCTACTTGGGAGACTGGCAGAGAAAATAGGGATCTACCTGCACTATGCCCACAGAGTCCAAAGTCTGTCATTTGCACATTGCACCTATCACCTGGTTGTTATGGGCAACAAGAATTCTAAGCACAAGCCTTAAAGCAACTTTCACTTGTTTTTAATGCTACAATTACTCTGTATTGATACATGCATGCAAGCTATATGGTATTTTTTTTAATTAATGTACACACTGGTACAAAAACTCACAAAACAAAGCCCTCATCCTACTTTACTTCACTGCTTTGTCTTCTGCGCTTTATCTGCCACACCTAGTTTTTTTTATGGCGGCACTGTGCGGCCTTCATAGTTCAACAGACCAGCAGGATGAGTCATAGCCAAAGAAGAGAGAGATAATAGGTGACACACTTAAAGCTGCATACACATGTTGATTAAACTTCTGAATAGAGCATACTGTATTTATTCTAAGGAGGAAGAATTTAAGACTTGTTTTCTATGAGCATTAAAAGGCTCAACAGTTCCTTTTTGCACCTTTCAGTAATAAAATTGCTAGCATGCAAAGATACACTTCCATGAGCTACTATTGTTGTAACTAGGGTGTGGCCATTCAGATATGTAGCTATCTAATCAGCCATTCAGGTAAAGGTGAGGTATTTTAAAACCTGATACCACAATGACACACCCTTAAAGTCCTGTTTGCACTTTTCCTTCCCTTTAAAAATGTTGAGAATGTTTTAAATCTTTATTGAACTCAAAAGCAATCCAAAAGGATAATCAAATGGCCAACGACAACTTAAGCACAAGCCAAACCACATTTATACACTATTATACACTATACTAAATATATGCTTTTTGAAACAACACTTGACAATCTTCCCTGATTTTGTGTCTCTACAGGTCCGTTTCCTGGAGCAGCAGAACAAGATGCTGGAGACCAAATGGAGCCTCCTGCAGGACCAGACCACCACCCGCTCCAACATCGACAGCATGTTTGAGGCCTACATTGCCAACCTGCGCAGACAGCTCGATGGGCTGGGCAATGAGAAGGTCAAGCTGGAGGGAGAGCTGAGGAACATGCAGGGCTTGGTTGAGGACTTCAAGAGGAAGTGAGTTGTTATATGAGATGGTCCTTAGTTATTACATATACCTGATTAAGGGAGCAGATGCACTAAAGCGTTGCCTTGTGTTTCAACAGGTATGAAGATGAAATCAACAAACGTGCAGCTGCAGAGAACGAGTTTGTGCTCTTGAAGAAGGTGCAAATACATCATAATTATTATTTTTTAATTATTGGGTTTAATACAATGTGGCCACTTATAACACTTCCTGTTTGTATATAATTTTCTCTCTAGGATGTTGATGCCGCCTACATGAACAAGGTGGAACTGGAAGCCAAGGCTGATGCACTTCAGGATGAGATCAACTTCCTCAGGGCCGTCTATGAGGCTGTATGTATCTATAATGTTTAATTACACTTACTTCACAATACTATAATAACCAAGTTTGTTAAATCAGCTAAAAAGACAAACAGTTAACTGATGTGAAACAATCATTGGATTTGTAGGAGCTTCGTGAGCTGCAGGGCCAGATCAAGGACACCTCTGTCATTGTGGAGATGGACAACAGCCGTAACCTGGACATGGATTCTATTGTAGCTGAAGTGCGTGCTCAGTATGAGGACATTGCCAACCGCAGCAAGGCTGAAGCAGAGACCTGGTACAAACAGAAGGTGAGTAAAAAGCAAAGCTGAGGTTTATCCCAGCATTTGTAACACCTCCCACAACCGTCTCGATCATGTTCTTGATACCCTTTTCTATTTCTTATAATAGTATGAGGAGATGCAGAGCTCTGCTGGACAGTATGGTGATGACCTGCGTTCAACCAAGGCTGAGATATCTGAGCTGAACCGCATGATCGCCCGTCTTCAGAATGAGATTGAGTCTGTCAAGGGACAGGTATATTTCAACAGCTTCTCATGGATGACTTCTCTGAGGAGGATTTGCAATTATTAAACATTAATGCCTGACATCATTTTCAACAGAGGGCCAGTCTTGAGGCTCAGATCGCAGAAGCTGAGGAGCGTGGTGAGATGGCAGTGAAGGATGCCAGGCTCCGCATCAAGGACCTGGAGGATGCTCTGCAGAGAGCCAAGCAGGACATGGCCCGCCAGGTGCGCGAATATCAGGAGCTGATGAATGTCAAGCTGGCCCTGGACATCGAAATCGCCACCTACAGGAAACTGCTGGAAGGAGAGGAGAGCAGGTGGGATAAACTTGAATACTTAATGTTGTTTTCATGGCTGCAGCATTAGCTTAACTCTAAATTAAGCGCTAACTCTTCATTATTTCCCCATTAGACTGGCCAGCGGAGGCTCCAATGCAACAATCCATGTGCAGACTTCTGGAGGTAAGTTTCAGCTTTTATACATCGTCATTATAAATGATACCTGACCAGCAGACCACACTGAGACATGCATGGATAAATGATAACACCTGTCCTTTTATGCTCCAGGATCACTCCAGTCCAGTGGTGGATTCGGCTATGGTGGAGGCAGCGGCAGCTATGGTGGAGGCAGCGGCAGCTACAGTGGAAGCAGCAGCTATGGTGGTGGTGGTTATGGTGGTGCCACAATCACCAAGTCCACAGTCTCAACAGTCAGTTCCAACAGGAGAGTCTATTAAAAAGGAGAGCCGTCCCTCTTCCCCTCCAGAAATTCTTGAATTTGATTTAAATCTGTACCCATTTAGATTCCTAAAGTCTGAGAGTTTCTGAAGGTAAACATGACCTCAAACACCAAAGGGCAAGTTCAGTTTGCAATGCAATTTTTTTTTTTTTCTGCACTGACATCCAAGAAATAAGAAAAAAGGAAAAAAATAGTGTTAAAGAGTGTTAAAACTAAACAAGGAAGCATTTGAAAATTTGTACTCTATATTGTCAATTTATACCTTTTGTACTGTAATGCAGTGGGGATGGGCGGATGTTTTCATTTGATGTCTCTTCCTACATTTGAGTGCTGATATTAGTAAGGGGAGCAAGTCACTGACCAAATCTGATCACTGGAGAAATGCAAAAAATGTAAACTTGTTGTTTAGGTTTGACCTGATTGGCTAATGGCTTATTCTTTTTACTGTTCTGCCAAATGTTTCCATGCTTAGTTTTGCCTTTCCTTGCCTTCAAGATAAAACTATGTTGAAACCAGATTTATTTTGTCAAAAAGCCTTCTCGGCAACATTACTGATGAATATTGCAGCAAGTTACATCAAAAACATCTGAATAAAATAAATCTGAGAACTTTAATTACTTTGCCTCTCACTCTCATTATTGTTGTGATAAATAAAGAACACAGCCTGGCTACTTTAAGTTTAGGAGGGTTTTACCTAGACACACACAGATTTCACATGGGGGCAGTGCTGTGCTACTTTTCCACTACTCACTTCCTTCTTGGTTTTGCAGTCTGCCAGATATGCATTTATAGTATGACGGCTACATTGTCATTTCTAGGAAATATCAAAATCATCATTCATAAAGGCTTAAAATACACAAAGCCGTACTCATTATGTTACTAATCAGTGAAACCATTTAAAAACTGGAAAGAAATCTCTGGCATGTCACTAATTAATTCAATAAACAATACCTTTTGCAGTTTAAGCATTTGCTGCCATGGAGACACTCAGTTTAGTACACTCAACAAAGCAAATGCTCTGTAACCTGTAGAGAGACTAGTTTATGTTAATGGTACATTATTGTAAACCAGAAGAGGTTCTACCTGTATGAGGGATTCTCTGTTAAAACATAACCCAAGCTGCTCTATCCTCACAAGCTCAAATCTTGAAAGGCAGCTCTTTTTAAACTCTCAGGACTGCCGAAGAGAAAATGAAATGCATCAAGGACATTTCTAATCTGTTTGCACTGTACAAAGCCAGTGAGCATGCAGTTATAGGTGAAAGGTCATTATAGCAGTTTTACAGCATCATTTTCTTATCTACTGTTGTGTTTTTTATCATAAGACAAAAATAATGACCTCAATGTTTGCAATACAACTTGCCTCCCTTTAAACTCTTTCATTCATTATCCATATGGGCTCCACTGGAGTTGCCTTTGCATGATAGAAAAAGAAACATACTGACAAATATTCTACTAGAGTTGCAGATTGACTTTGCAGACTTGTGACATGCATGCTTTTGTGCTTGGACTTGTATCACTTGCACCTAAAACCGCACACACAGTGGCGTATTTTTAAACGTGCCTCATGCACTCAAAATCTGTATTGGCAGGTTAACAAGAAGAAGCCTTTCATCATCTTCACCTAAGGCTGAGAGTGCTGGCAGAGATCATATATTTAATTGTTGAATTTGGTCCCAGTGGAATTAAAGTTGACTCATAATATTGATACAAGGCACGTGCCAAACACAGAAGTTGTAACCATTCATGTTTCTACAAAACCAGTTATATCATCATTAGAAAATAACAGGTGATGCATCTTTTCTCCATGGCTTCCTGTTGTTACAAAGTCTGCATTAATCCTCACAGACGAATCAACAGTCTATTATTACCTATACAAGGCCTGTGCACCAGTATAACTGTCATTAACTGATGATGCTTGTGATGATCTGGACAATTAAGACGCCCTTGATACTGAATAAGAGGCTGTCATTAACATCATCATCATGTATCTGTAATTGAGCATGGTGACAGCACAAATGGTGCAGAATGGAAAAGAACTGGCCATTACATACACCAGAGAAGCTAATAGTATCATCTACAGGCAGCTTGTCCTTGAAGAGGATCATTGGTCTTAACCATTTCTTCGTGTCAGCAGACAATATATCTCAGAAAACAGGTAATGTTCCTCTTTAGAACAGAGTAACAGCCCTAAAGGAGAGTATTAGCACATAGGCCATGCACCTAAAACTTGAATATTCAAGTTGATAAACGCCGTCTTTGGTGACTTCCTGCTTGCATCTTGATTCTTCTCAAAAGAAAATGCACCAAAAAGGAACAAGAAAGACAGGCAGTCAAGTAACTGAATACACAGTTGATGCTTGGACCCTTAAAAGCCAACCTCCAACATATTGTAGCTGGACATAAACCTGCACTCTGTGATTTAGAGGATAATCGGAAAGACATAGTGCGAAAGAAAGGAAATGGTCTGTGCAAAGTACCAACAATACCACAGGCAGAGAAAAAACACATATTAAATTATATAACCCCTCATAAACAATGTTTGTGTCTAGCACACAACAAATAAACTACAAAGACTAAAGAACAAATAGACATACATTGTGGGGGATAAGAACGCAATTTTTGGGCTTAACTACAAAAATGAAAACAAAACAGCAACAAGTCTAGATGGAATATCATTTGTAATTGTTTTAAATCATAATGCCATTTGTTTAACACTGTAATTACTGGTTTGGTCATTTTAATTGCATACTTATAATACATAATGATTGATTTTCTTATTGTGCCAACTCTGGCAGATGTAAATGTTTTATTGCAAGTCATCTGGTCCTATGCTTATTATCATATTTCTTAGTATCACAGTTTTTACACTAAAATTGTCTTTCTTTATTCTAAGCAGCACAAACAAATAGTTAATTTAACTGTTTGGGGATTAGTATGTTTTTCTAAGCAGAGAGGATACCTGCTGTTTCTCAGTCACAATGATTGCACTTGATTGGTAACTTAAATTAAAGGAGCAGTGTGCAGGATTTAGTGGCATCTAGTGGTGCAGTTGCAGATTGCAACTCACTCGCTTCACCCACACTTTTCAAGTGTAAGGGAGAAACTATGGTAGCCGCCAAACACACAAAAATGCAAATGGCCCTAGAGGCAGCTTTTGGTGTGTCTGATCTGGGATATTGTACAAACATGGTGGTCACCACCAAAGGCAGCCTGCAGCATCTGTAGGTAAACAGCATATTTTAGAGTAACAAAAACAGAACGATTCTTATTTTCCAGTGATTATACATTAGTTTATAGAATGCGTGTCTTACTGTATACATAACACATAGACCTGTCCAATGGTTGCAGCATAACATCCATAAAACAAATATAAATATTAAGATGGAAACACAAATGCTACGTGTTTTAAAAGAAGACATGAGATATGTGTTTAGGTAAAGTGTAATATTGATTGATTTTCCTAATTTGAAATACATAATAGCTTACGCAAATTCTTTACATGTTAATTATGTTAAACATAGTCAAATTTATTCTGACACTTTGCAGATAATTTGTCATCTTCTATTTTCTTCAAATCAGGTTTTGAGAACTGAGCACAAGCATCTCAATCACTGCATAGTGGAGAGAAGTTCCTTAGGAGGCTGATCCTTCCGTAGAAAATGACCTTTGTTTTCTTTGTCCTTACTGCTGCGTGAAGAAGCACAATAATGAGCTATTGATTGAGGAGGGCTCTTCCACAGGACTGGAAGAAATCCTCAGGAGCGATTGAAAAGACTGACCTTACCCTTAACCCAAGCCCAGCACCACGATCAATAAACATTACACCTTATACAAACCCTGACACCTCAATCGATACTGGTGAATATCAGCAGCCACGATTGGGAACACTGATGAGCAGTGTGCTGCATGTGGAGTGGGTAAGGGTCAAATCACTTAGTGTCTTTGTCAGGTTATGAGGTGTGTGTGTGTGTGTGTGTGTGTGTGTGTGTGTGTGTGTGTGTGTGTGTGTGTGTGTGTGTGAGGTGTGTGTGTGTGTGTGTGTGTGTGTGTGAGAGAGAGAGAGTGTGAGTGTGTAATAACTTCCAGGAAAGTTCTGATCGCAGTTACTGATCTTTACACAACAAAGACTCTACCATTATAAGGAGAGTCTATGGGTATCCATGATGATAACTCAATGTTTGACTATGTCCATTTTTTTCCCTCCCTGCACTAAAACAAAGTGTGTTTATTCTGTGTTTACATGTTTTTTTTCAAATGAGTAAACATGACATGTTTGTTTGTGATAAAAAGCACTCCACCATGAGCAAACTTTTGACAAATGAAAACTAATATTTGCTGTTGTGCTTTCCATCAGACACCTCTGCAGCTATCACTGTAAACATGATACACCATCACTGTATAATGGGGCGTTCTTTTTGTGCACCGAACTTGATCTGCGAGTCGGTTTCCTGAGTTACGAACCGGAAGTTGCAAACAGAACACCCCCGAGGTCGTATATATACGACTCGTCAAGTCGTCTGAACTCAGAGGACCCCGAGTTCAGTTACCAAGATGGCTACTCCGAGCATCACACTAAGTAAACATTGTGGTTTTCTACTATTTTAAGCACTTTTGTCTTTGTTGTGAAGAAGTCGTACACACAGCACTGTATACTGTTACCTATAGGCATGTCGTTACAGTCTTATTATGTGTTAAATACCACCTAATTAGTTATTTTGTAGCTTGTGCAGCTGAAATTGGCTAGAGATGATCCATGTTGCTATGACAACAATGCCGAGTCTTGAGCAGAAAGCAGAGCAGTAGCCTAACGTTAACGTTAATCAAAACGGAATATTCAGATAACAAACTGTGAATATGATTGTGTAGTATATAATGAACATGTGAAATCCATGGTGGGTGCACCGTAAACCAGATAATCACTATACTATAGCGACTTTCCTGGAGGTGTCCATCTTTTCTCCGACTCATCGTGTTGTGTGCCAAACAGAACGCAAAAACCTGCGGTTATTCATTTTCCAACACGGATGTGACGTCACTCTCGAGCTGCAAGTCGCGATTACAAGACAAAACGAATGCCCCATTAGGCTACCTGTAAACATCAATTTAGCATGTGCAAGAATATAGCTTTATAATTCAAACATAGGTAGATTGCATTTATTCAACAATGCAATGTAAATACAACTACTGTGGTCTTGAGCCTGCAATAAGTCATTTTTTGGCCACCAGGGGCCAACAGAAACAATTTATGAAAACGTTAGCTTGTTGGCAAACAGTTGCTTATTAGCATCCAGAGCAGACAGAGGGCAACAATCATTAATTTGGTGTCATATTTTGTCCACCTGGTAAATTTAAGTCCAATATTGACTCACTTTTAGTGCTGTTTTTGGACCAACCCACCAAAAATGACTTTTAAGTTGCTAATTGCTCCAAAATCCCACTTTTCTGGTGTTACATCGGTGTAATTGTTTGGTACAATAAGATAATTCCCAGCACAGCTTTACCCAACTTCAACCTGAGCAGAGCTCTAATCAACCACAATAAGCAAAAACACCTGTGTAGGTGTGCAGGGCCTCACAGACATGATTTCATCCTCTGGCGCTGTCCAAGTTTAC